CTCAGCAGTATTTGCACCAAGAAAAAGAAAAGACAAGGATTCCCAAACTTTCCGAGCCCTAAAACCCCCACAGAATTCCCATCCCCGCCCATCCCGCCTGTCCAATCCCAAATCCATCCCTTCACAGTTTCCCATCCCCAGATCTTCGCTCCAAGGCACAGCCGGGGGTTGAATCTTGGGGGGAAATCCCAAATTTCTGGAAATTTCTGTTCCATCGGGTGGGATCCCAGCGGCCGCTGGAGTTTCCAGGAGAAGAATTCCACAGGGATGGGAATTCCGGGGTTTTAGGGCCGCTGGTGGCCGGCAGGATTTGGGAAGCCCAGGCGCCTGTAACCCCCGTTATCCTGCAAGGAAAAGGGTGGGATTTGGGGCATTTTTGGGATTTTTTGATCCCAAAAACCCCCCCATGGATTCTCCGTTACCTCCAAGTAGGCGGTGGAGACCAAAGCTGGGTCCAGCCTCTTCCTCTTGATGGAGGAAGGCTGCGGGAAAAAGGGGAAAATTCCCGTTGGGAAAAGCGGGATGGCGATCCCAGAACCTCGTGGGACACGGATTTGGTGTCCCCAAGGCTTGGGGACGCTCCAGGCCAGCCTCACCGTCCGGCTGAACTGGACCGTGGAGTAAACGGTGAAATTCCCGGGTTCCTCCCGGTGCCTGGGGTGCTCCTGCCAGGGAAGAAGGGTTGGGATGCACCAAAAAAGGGGAATTTGGGGATAAAACATGGATCCAGCCTGGGAACCAGCGGGGATCCCACGGGAATGACCCTACCAGTGTCCTGGGACTGACCACGGCGTAGACGGTGGCTCCTTCCTGGGTGGCCTCGCCGGTCCCGGCCTGGGGACACCAAAAAAGCCGGGAATGGTTGGAGGGATCAACCTGGGGCTCCCGAAATTCCCACGTGGAGGGAATTTCCCCACAGGAAGCGCGGTCAGGCCGGGGAACTGCCCCAGGTTTGGGTTCCCACTCCTGGCAGTGTCCGAGGAGTGGCCGGACGCTGAGTGACCAGGCTGGGCTCAGGCCCAGGGTGGACTCGAGGACCTTGGAGGGTTTTCCCGACCCCAAAATTCCCGGATTTTGGGTGGGAAGGGGCAATCCCGGCACTCACGGGGTCCTGGCGGGGTTTCTTCTCTCCCACCTCGGCGTAGACAGTCAGCTCCTGCACCGGGGGTCCCGGGGGGGCAACGGGGGTCTCTGTGGGGCCGGAATTCCCAGATTTTGGGATTCCAAGGGTCCATGTGGGGTCAGAACTCCCAGATTTTGGGATTCCAAGGGTCAGCGTGGGGTCAGAACTCCCAAATTTGGGATCCTGCTCTGACATTCCAGACAAACCTTCCCGGGAGTTCTTCCTCCTCTCCCTCCACCAGCAGCAGCCGCCCACGAGGAGCAGCGCCAGCCCCACGGCCACGGCCAGGGCCACGGCCAGCAGCGTCCAGTGGCCAAAATTGTCTGGAATTTCTGGAAAAGAATCCCAGAATCCTGGAACTGGGCTGGGATTTGGGGTCCCTTCCCACCCAAACTGTCCC